TCCATCTTGATTTTGACCAGGAACTCCAGACAGACTTGCTAGAATGTTTTGGGCGAGGAAGCACATTTTCATTTTTCATTTTTCTTTTTGCATTCATCTTTTATAGCACATTTGCTTGTTATTTTCTTGTCTTTAATCACGAATTTCCTTTGAAAGATTTTCAATCAACTAAGAGGAGCTTGCAATTATGGTTCATTTTGGGTTGAGATGAATTAGAGACTTTCAAGTAATGGTGGAATAGTTTTTGTGTATTTTGATGAATATTTAACTAAAGATGTGCACCATTAGTCCCTCAAATTTCAGATCAAGTTGATTTTTCATTTTTACCCTTTAAAAATTGGACACGTCATGTGGGCTCAGTAAGTTCCGGTCAAAATCTACTCGGAAAAGTGAAAATGGATTAAATGTGATCATTTTTTGTTTGTTAGGGACTAAAACTAATCATTTTCGTTCTAAGGGACTAAATTTTCACATCAGAGATATGTGAGGGACAACTGGTGCAATTCTCCCTTAAAAGAATCAGCGTGAAACGCACTTTTGAACGATTTCTCTGTCAGGAATTTAGAAAATGGTTGAAAACCTTGACTCCCGTAACACTGACGGGATATCACCACGAATAGGATTGACAAGATTAGTAGGATATTGGCCATTATGACCCTAAGCTACTACTCTCCTGTAACCGAGGAATTGAAAGTGCACTGAAGCCTACTTTTGAAATGATCTGATTTATAGTCCTTTGAAGGTCGGCAATTTGATGCCATTTTGCTTCATCTATTCACCAAGATATGCTTATAAACTCGTTTGTTTCTTTTTAGGCCGTCAGAGTTTGTTCAAACCAAAAGTCCGTCAATTATCTTTTTGGCTGACATGTTAGCTTTGCCCGGTTAAACCACATCTGTAGAGCACGTCAGCATGCATGCACTATAATCTTAACTTGTTACTGCTTTCCTTGATATATATATTCAACAAAGGATTCCTTCCGTCTCAATATTATACTTTTTTTTTTTTTGGAAATTCATCATTTTAAGGGGACATTTAATCGTTGATGTCTGGATGTGTGCATTGAATGAAATTACATCTATAGCATTTTTATAAAAACCATTCAGTTGGTGATTAAATGTGCATCCAAATTTGAAAAGGTTGATTTTTGAAATGATAAAATTAAAAAGCAACTAATATTCTGTATGAATTTTAAAATGGTGAGTCTTATATTGGGACATGGAAAAAAAAAAAAAAGAAATATGGTGGAAGGTGTAGTAACTTATCTTCAAATACTCCGGCGCACAGTCTCGATTAGGTGTTTTAAGCAACTAATACAATTTAAGCAAACACGGCCAGATATTACAATTCCTTAAATGTGCATGCAAATGTTTTTTATTCGCAACGGATGCTTTTGTCTATTTGCACGTTTCAGTTTGGTTGATTCGGAATACTGACTACATGACAAGGAATTTGCAAATTCGTAGGCATCCCAAAGGATCTGTTTCGTCTTGGAGATTCTGTATCTTTTGTGACTTCAAGTATTGTTTTGCCAGAACAATAAAACAAAAGCAAGTTAATTACCTGATTACCCACTAAATTTTTGAATGGTATAATTGTAGCCACTCAATCTTTATAAGTATGAAGTTATTCACACAACTCCGAGACGTGTATACTTTAGGCAATTCTATGTATTTTCACCGTTAATTCTACCACATCTAAGGATTTGTATGAATCATGAGACATCACCGAGAGGCAGACCTGATGATGAAAACAGACGAAATGACCTAAATTATATACGTTTGAGAGTTGAGTGGATAATTTCATACTTTTAAAAATTGAATGAACAAAACCATTCTATTACAAAAGTTTAGTAGGCAGCTGAGTAATTTGCTCATAAAACAATAGACAAGATGAAAATGACAAACAGAAACAAATTACTTTTTAAAATGCATTTAGGGTTTTTATTTTCAAAATTGTCTTCATATCTTTTGTAGTGGTAGGATTCTCAGTAATAATTTTAGGTCTCAGCTAGGTGAAATGTCCTATTTCTTGATATGCAAAAAAATCAAAATAAGTTGTAAAAACCATATTGTAAGCTTGAAATTGGTGTTCCCACAATATTTTACGACTTGGTGGAAAACGTTAGGTAAAGAGCGGGTGGAAGGAGGGGAAAAAAGCTGTACCCGAAAGAGTTGAATTGCAGGAGTAAATTGATTTTCCTTTTGTTGTTAGGACTCATTCTTTCCAATGTTCACAGATTGATTGCAAATTTTTGATCTAAAGATTTGGCCATTGTACATTTGTAATGCCTGACATAATTGTAAATCCAAACTTGAATTCTAGATTCCATCAACTCAGTGATAATTGGCCTTTCAAGCAACACTCTGTCTTTCCATCTATGATTCACGATAAGACAATTTTCCACAGTCCAAAAAAGCAAGAATTGTAGTGAATATAGTTTTGCTCAAACGTCTCTTAATTCAGGCTAAAATACTTAATATTCAAAATCAAAAGATTGGTACAAAGTCAAAGTTATTTACTAATGATAATTTGATGTTGACCGTTAGTCATTATTCCATTTCTGTTAGTTATCCTAAATTTGCCTAAAATCACAAACTTTGGGGGCTAAATTTGTTTTGATCAAAATATTAGATATCAATTCGGCACATAGGCCAAATATTGGGGATCAAAATTGCAATTTTTCCTTATTATAAAATAAAATGAGATTTGAATAAATCATGATCAAGTGAAAAAAGGTTTTACATGGTCAAAGACCAAAGAGAAATGAAAAACTTTATATCACCAAGACATGCGTATTATCTCCATTAAACCACATGAGAAGTTAGGATTTTGGAAGATGAATCCTGTGGGGACTTTGGAAGTTCATTTTCGAAATGCTCTGATTTATAGTGCATGGAAGGACTGCAATTTGATATTCGTCATGATATTCTTATATGGAGTATATGTTTTTTTTTTTTCCTTTCCCCCTTCAGAATTTGTTCAAGCTGAAAGTCCATCCATTAAAAATTTCACCAACATGTTTGTTAATTTGCCAAGGTAAACCAAAATTTTTGAGCATGCACTCGCTTGTTGCTTTCTACAGGTACGTACTCGCGGTCTCCATCTGGATCTTCATTAGGTGTTTTTAACAATTTCAATTTAGGAAAAAACACGTCGAGAAAATACAATTTTATAGAATGTGCATGCAATTCTGCTGTGCTTGTAACTTATGGAGTCTATACTTGTCTAGTGTACGATTTTTTAGTTTGATTTGATTCGGAGTAATGACAACAGGACAAGGGATTATGATCGTTTTATGCATACCAAAGGTCTCTAACGTGTCGGAGGTTTTCGATTCTTTTGTGACCTCAAGGATCGTTGGCCAGGATAAGAAACCATGCATACACAAGTGGAAAACTATGAACAAAGTTTTTACAAGTTGTGATTAGGGATGTACGCGAGCCGAGTCATAATCGAGTAGCTCGCGAGTAGCTCGGTCAACGGCTTGGCTTGAACTTGGGTTGACCAAGTTCGAGCCAAGTCTCGAGCTACTCGATTGTCATTCGAGTCGAGTTTCGAGCTAATATTTTGAGGTTCAAGACTTGTCGAGCTACTCGTCGAGTCGGGGGTATTTAAATAATATATATGTATTATAATTATAAAATGACCATTATGGGTATAAGTTTTACGGAATTTACAATAAACTACTCTTTATAATAAAATTTCATAATGGCAAAAAAGTAATAACATAATTGTAAAAAGACCTAAAAAGAAAAAATGTCTAAAAAAGGGAAGAAAAGACGAAAGTGTGTCAAAAAGCTTGATTAGCCTCGACTTGATAAGGCTTGACTAAAGGTCGAGCCTTATCGAGTCGAGTCTCGAGTTTAAAGCGAGTTCCTCGAGTCAAGTTTCGAGTATCGATTTTTTGTATTCGGTCGAGGTCGAGTCGAGCTCGAGCCTAGGTATATATGAGTCGAGTCGAGTTCGAGTATAGCAATACTCGAGTTTGACTTGACTCGATTACATCCCTGGTTGTGATAACTCAATTTTGTCCAATAAAATGTGTACTAATGGAGATTAAAACACACAAAATGTGTATTTATTCCACATGATCACTTCCACAGCTTTTCCTATTGAGCATATTCCTTTCTTTTTCTTTCCTTTTTAATTTTCTCATTTTCAACTTCAGACACTTTTTTATTGTGAATGGGAGGACTCGAATCAAATGCCTCTCACTTACATATTCTCCTCTCGAACCACTTAACCCATTCCACCCCATTTCTCAATTTCACACTTAAAGAACTCCTTTGTTGTAAAACTATTACCATTATAATCAACTTATTTCTTGAAAATTCATGCAATTGCCCCATAATCACCACAAATACTCGTTTTTTTGTATCTAAAGTTGTTTTAGTTGGTTAGATCTTATTGCAATATATTTGAAAAAAAAAAAAAATCGTTCAAAACATCATTCACATTTCGTCAAATGAATTTTTTTGTCATTCACTTTTAAAATGCTAATTTTATATCTATTACGAATTCCAGTCGATAATTTTTAGTCCCAACTTATGTTTTCGACCATTTCGATAAAAAAAGTTAGATCCTATTTGTAGTTATACAAATGATCCAATCTATATTCATTTTATTTGTTTCTAAAAAGGTATAATCTGACCCAAATTATGTGCATTCTTTCCCTAAAAAATTGGAATATGACCCAATTTATATTCATTTTTGCCACTAAAGATATGGAATTTGACTTGATGTATATAAAAAATGATTGCATGTGAGTCACTTGGTAATTTAAGATTCAAAAGTAGTTAAATTGGGACCAAAATTTACTAACTTAAATTTGAATTTATAAGGGACATAAAATTAATATTTTAAAAGTAAATGACCAAGAAATTCATTTAACAAAATGCAAGGGATGTTTTGGACGATTTTTTCATTTGAAAATGCAAAACACATGAATACTGTACTTAGAATTATCATCTTAAGATGGTGTCGAGACATGTGCTCTTTTCATTTAAACACGAAATAGTAATTTGGATGACAGATTTTGCATTCAACTAACAAGACAGTCGAACAAAATTTAATTTGTCAGGTCTCATACTAATTTTTTTGGCTAATGAACAAGAAGGCGAGACGAGTAGTTTGACATATATGCCAAGAATATGTGTTATCCGCATTTTCTTTCGGTCATCCTAAAGCATCCCCTTTTTTTAGTCTATTTGGATGGGAGAAGTTTTTGGTTTATGAATGAAGAGAAGAGTGCAAGGGCTCTTGCTGGCTGGTAACTAGGAACAAAATGTCCAGATCCTCTTATGGTAACGAACATCAAGTTTTCATACTCAACCACATATCCGCCAACCTGCAAACCCAGCATTGATATCTCAGACAAGTCCATAATTCTTGATGGGCAAGTATTATGCGAAATGTTAAGCATAATTTAATAGATAAAACTTCTCAAAAATTTTTATACCACTAAGTCTTCTATTCCACACAAAATATAAAGGAAGCTCTAGATAATTCATCTTACTACAATCCATTATAATGAAGAGCTTGCTTTTTTGTTTAACACATGCTTGAATAATTAGACAAAGTAAGTTCTTGAAACAAGTTTTACTTGTAGAAGTTCATTTTTGCCACTTCATTGGACTAACAAACTCCAGAGATATTGTTTGCGTGTAATGTTCAAGTGTTTAAGGCTCTCATTCTAAAATAATACGTTATACAACAAATAAGCCGATCAAAAAAGAAATATATGACACTTACCTCATTCTGGAGGTACCAAGGATACCAGGGAGTTTTCACAGATATCCCAAGTTTATTGATGGCATACCTTGAGGACGTTACTGGCACTGCACCATCCGTGTCACCACTGCAAATTAATCATCTGACTTTGTTAAGTTCACTTCTGACAATTTCTTTATTCAGATTCAGTCTTATTTAATGCTTAAATCCTGTTAAATTATACAATATTTGAAGATGTTGAATTGTAGGAGAATTTGGTTTTCGTTTCGTTGACAGGACTCTTTATTTTCAATTTTCAGAGTTTATTTGACAAAATTCAGTCTAAAGATTGGCCATTGTTTATCTCTAACGACTTACCTGTAAATCCAAACTGGAATTCCGGATTCCATCAACTCAGTGATAATTGGTAGTATAGGCAAACGTCGGTCTTTCCAGCTACCATTCATGGTAAGACTATTTCCACAGCCCAAAAAAGAAGAACATTGGTGAATATACTTGGTGGCTCAAACCTTTAAAACTTAAAAGCACAATTTATGACCATTTCTTCTTCAAGAGTAACAGTGATATACTTGCACAGTTCCCAGGGATAAGGAAAAGTGGCAGCATCCACATGAAGAGCAATCTGAACTGCGGGGTTGTTTAAGTAGTCGAAAGCATAATCCAGCGAGCAGGGATCAAAGACTGAGATCTGTCAATATTTCAAGGCCAATTATCAGGAAAAAAAATAAAAGGGAAATAAGAAACCATAGATTTGATCAACAACGTTTGCACATTTAGAAAAGATAAAGAATTGATAAATACTTGCCAGAGTGGATGAAGAGGTGGAATTGCACAAGGGCGCAAAAATGTCGTAAGGGTATATGTCCTTAGTGGCATTTATGACTTGGTCTTGATATTGGCGACATATATCAGATGGAGGAGCAGGAGACGAGAAATTGCAGTTGGATTTATGTCCAATATATATTTCGTCTGATATAAGGGCATGAGTCCAATAATAGTCTAACCATCCCCTACTGTAGGATTCGTAGTCAATCAACCCATTGCCAACCTGCAATTATGATTTGTCCATATTAAATTTTAGTATGCAACTTCAATCCTTGCAACTAATAGGCATGTGCCAGTGAAGCATTAGTCTAACGGTTAAGATTGAAACTCCAGAATTTAGTGATTTTGGATTCTAATCTCCTGTGTCCTTCTTACTTCTTAAATCTCACCCATCTCTGCTGAAAAAATAAAAAACAAAAACTAACAGGCATGTCAATTTTAACTTTATCACTTACAGCGATTCCTTTTAGATTGATTTTAGTATGGTTCGTATTAGTGTTTGCGTGTAGTATCACTTGAGCTAGCTGAGGTACATAATGGCCAGCATAGCTTTCTCCTGCAATAAAAAAGTCCCTAGTCTTGTACTCGGGGAACCTCTCAAGCCAATTGACTAGAAACGTATACGTATCCACTGCAGTTCTTTCGTCCCCAGTGAAATCATAATCTGATGTTGTATTTGTATATGAAAATCCAACACCAGCTGGAGACTCCAAGAATATGATATTGGCCTCTGAGAAAGAATTAAAGTCCAACTTTGGTTAGATTCTTCATCTCTGTTATGTGTATTATCATATTATACATGGAGGGAAGACTGAAAATAATCTAGAATCCAATGACCTGCATTCCACGCATATTGATTTCTGTAGAGAGTCTTGCCACCTTTTTCAACTCTAAATGGCCCAAGTTCCGTCAATGCTCCGGCTCCAAGAGAAGAACAACCGGGACCTGCAAAGAGCTTGGAATGCCTAGCACTTGATAAACTAAATTTCGTAAGAAACAAAGTTAAACTGGCAACATTTAGCAACAGTACCTCCATTGAGCCACAGGACAAGTGGATTAGATGAAGAGTTTCTCGGTGATTCGACAAAATAGTAAAACAAAGCTCGTCCTGAATTGGGATCAACAGTAACATATCCTGAATATTGGTTGAAGTCTACTCCGTCAGGCTGTCCAGGCAGCCTTTGAATCTTGTCATTTTCTTTGCGCCCACTTTGGGAGCAAAGATACGCTGATGAAAGGCTGAAAGACGTATCTGATCCAAATTTCGTGGAAGTGAAGTTCTGAGAGGGCTTTTCTTGCAACAATTCCTCCATTTTGAGCCCACCAATTGATGATATAGAAGCTTTACCATCATGGCACAGAAGAGAAACTACCAAAAACAGGAGTTTCAAGCTAAGTTGTAGCTTCTCCATCTTTTGAGTTCTGTATATCAATGATCAGGGGGGACGATTCATTCTGTTGAGATGTTCAGTATATATAGTCCGCCACAGGACTTAATCAATCAATGTCAATCCTCTTCATTGTCCAAATTTCGTATCTGCCAGTTTTGCCGACTTACGTGTGGCTCTGATTTGGCGGACAGATCAATGACCCAAATCCAGGTTTGTCGACTTATGTTTAATTCCAGCTTTGCAAAGAGTGATTCTTTTCGATTCAAAAATTGCATTTATCGACTACTTCACACATATCCATATCCAGAATAGGTGCAACAAATGATCCGCCAAACAATTCAACGATGACCCAAATTCAGAATACGTGCAACAACCCAATGCCGCCATGGTGATCCGGATATTTGAAAGATTCGCACAACTAATGGTGGAGAAATACACCGTGCTTGAATTCTGTACTTGGACTGCTCCAGAAATAAGAATCCACAAATCATATTCATTTGTACTGTATTCACTTTGCTATTTCCCAGAATGGTTATTTTATTTGGATAAGTTTTTCATACACTGTTGTTTACTTAGTGGGTTTCGGTAATTGGTACATAATATGAATTCAAATTTAAAATTCAAATCATTCGACATGCATCGTAACTGTTAGTGTAAATATTAATGTATAAAAAGTTAATCGAAATCATAATGGAAGACCGATGAAAGACACAAAACAAAAACTTAACAATGCATTAATAACACAATTGCCACCCATTTGTCAACCCCTCAGCTTTTGTTTCAAGGCCTGGAGTCTCTCTAGAGAGACCAAAAAAATACTGAAAATTCAATGAATTAATTTCCCGCCGTCTGCCGGCGAATAATCTGCATTCTGTCCAATAAATAGATCCACCGCATGATTTGATTCTTTCTTGCAGGCGAGGGTTTGATCAATGATCCCTTTCCTTAAGAGGAATTAAGCGTCGTGATCATCATCTTTCGCACAACTTCGTGAGAGAACCACTTTTATTATCCAAATTCCTCTGATCATGCAATTTTATTGTATACTCACTTGTTAAAATATTGATCTCCTTTGCCACTATGTCCTAATTTCCGGAAGGAATACGCTTTATTCTGTTCTCCAACTTTTTATTATAGAGTGCACCTATAAAAAAAAAAGACTGAAAATAATAATATTCCAAAATAATAGATTTAAGATGGGCTCTCAACATTCTTCTTAGTACTTATGTGGCTTAGCATAGGCTTTGTACTAGGATTTATCCAAGATGGGCTGTTTATTAACTCTTTAATATAACATGATACTAGTGCAAATGTCTTAATTGGCAAACGGGCTCTCTTTTCCGGCATTAGCTAAGCGATTAACGGCAAAATTTGCAGTTTAGAGTAGCTCACGTTTGCAATTTTTGATATCCAACCTTAATTATGGAGATCATGATTTCTCTTGCGCTTAGAGAAGGGGATTCCACTCAAAGCTGCTAATTTTCAAAAAATAACTACTCTTCGCTCCAAATTTATCATCGCTTTTGAGAATCCCCATGCTAATTATAGTGCTATTGGTTTTGATGTCGGTGATTATTTTTCCAATCTTGTTTCCAAATTTCGTATTAACGGGAGAAAAAAGATAAAACATATTTTTGTCTTTTGGCCGATAAGACAAAAAAATTGGGATATCTAGAATGGAAAGTGCGACACTCTCAAGAAGGAAGGAAAAAAAAAAAAGGTGGTTTTGGCTGGCCGAAAGTTCTTGGCAACTACATATCGTTGATCAAATCATTGAACCTAGGCTATTTACTCTTAACCTAGCAATTACTGTGAGATGCTGGTTGTACTTGGTAATTAGCCAGTTAGCCACTGCATAGTTTCTTGGGTCTGCTGATCTCCATTTGGCATGTACTTCTAGGTGGCCCGAGGGGGTTGTATGCTGCATTTTCGACATTTCATGTCAAGACAACTGAAAAAATGGTGAGAACAGAAAAATGGAACTTATTATATTCCAATTTGGATCAATAAAAAGACACCGATTTTGCTTGTCTTTTGAGTAAAATGTAGGCCTAATAATTGTCGAATTGATCAAACACAAAAAGCTACAAGGCACCAACTTGCTTGAGGACGTGGTCCTGATGGAGAAGGAGACAGGAAGGGAATTAATTGAATTTGGTTTTATTTGTATACGCTCCCACAGAAGGGAATAGGGATATCGAACTAAGCTGCTGATTATGTTTTTGTTGCAGTTTCAGCTTTAACTTTCTCTTGATGCCTGGCATCAAGTTCGACAGGTTCGGAAATTTTGATCACGTTTTCTTAATTCAGTTCCGGGGTATCACTTGATCTTTTTAGTGCCATGGTGTCTGCTCAGTTTCGGGGTCCTTTTTGCTTGATTTTCCAGGTAGGCCTGGTTTTGATTAGAATAAGGACGCACGATCTTGTCCAAGTAGATTAGACAAGGAAACTTCTTTCTTCTCTTTCTCTCGATGTCTAGCTTCTGATTGTAATAGCCTCACGCAACCTTCCCGGACTTATCATTCTCATATACTGAATGATACTGCTTGCCAGTTCCACCCTGGGTCTTATCTTTAGCATTGTTTGGTCCCCTGAAGGAAGGGTGAGACAGGAGCTTTAATTTTTCTGGACTTAAACCCGACAATCATTTAATTCTCCAGGGCGCTTTCACTCTGTTTCCTTATGGGAACTTCTGTTAGGGAGGCTCGCTGGACATTAGTGATCAAAAGGAAAGAAATACAATTAATAACCATGAAGTAGAAGAAGAACACAGTGCTAGTACGAAGACTTAAATCTTACATGGCTGGTTGAGTTGTTGTACCCATCGGTCAAGATATGGGCAGAGTTTTACTCTGAAAACATCACGGGTGGCAAAGGATCGGCATCACCCATTATGCGGGCTTTCGATTTGTGGAGCCTTGGATTTGTGAATAAAGCTCTTCAACCCTTCTTTCCCGTTATCTGTGTACAATCAAGATGAGACTTTAATCTTGTTAAATGGACCACCAATCATCTCGGCCTGCTCCAAGTTCCATGACCTTGATCTCTATCCTGTGCTGAAATCAGGCAAAGATCTGTACGCAATACCTCTTTCATTCCATGTCAAAGAAATGTGTGCGGAAAATTCTTATGTGATGATTCATGTCCCTTCCCAAAGCTAAACATTCCACAATTACCATTTACGTGGTTGGACTTGTCCATAAATTTTGTTTTTCTGATTGAATACCAAAATGAATGTCACATATGCTTTTTATGTCATTGCCCCATGTTTGGATTTGCTGATGCTTATTAGGCTTATTTCAATATAATTCTTCACATCATATCTGGATTATTGATTCCCTAGTTTATCAAACAAGAGCAGAAAGAAATGGCGTTCCTCAGTGTTACACCTTCTTCTCCGCAAAATAGAAGACCAATACATGAAGAATGCTAGCTACTTCATTGCTATCTGCATCTTCACAGCAATTACTCCTTTCCCCACTTCTATACATTGCCTCATTGTTTACAAGCTTCGCACATCAATCTGGTGTGGTGCTGGTGTTCCTACAATGAAGACTAGGTTCCACAATTTTTAACACAACTAGTAGTTGATTGCAAATTGTAGGAAGACGTTCATTTAACAAGATACATGGACCATTCTTTCTTGGACAGCGGCAAAGAAAATATCAAGATACTAACAGACAGTGACAGGTCTGTACGTTATGTTTGAAGCTTTGCTCTGCCCATGTGTTCTTCTCGTCTCATTTACTATTTTCTCCAGTTAATAGATTGGATTCTGTTCTCTACTCTTTCTTTGAAGATCGACCTCCAAATGTTCTAGTTATTTATAATTTTCTTCAAAGCAACCCTCTTGAAGGTGCTTATTGTGTTGGATATTTTGAACGTGTAATTAATTGATAATAGACAAAGGTAGGAAGCATAAATGCATGCACACCGGCCTTAATTTTTCTTTTTCTTTTCTCCATCTAGAACTTTTGGTTGATCATAACTGTAGGGTTCTCTTGAAAGGTTATGGTTGTGGTCCAATTCTTTGTAGTGGCATGACTCTTCATGCTCTCTTCTTTCCCCTCACCGGTTTCGTGCTTTATAACTTGTTGTGCACTTGTGTGGTAAGTGCCAGTTGATCAAATTACACCCATCAAGATTTCTGTTGATGTGCAGTAAGTGAATATGATGTCCTCGTGACAATGCCATGCCATATATATATGTACATTGACAAAGACTCTGTGTTCTGCAATAAGAAATCAGGAAAATGGTTTATTCAATCATAACTGGTTATCTTACAGCTAGCTGTGTGTTCTATTGGTTTTCTGCTCATTTTCCCTCTTGCCTTCCTTTAGTGCACTAACACACTCACAATTGCATGTTGCACTAATCATGGAATTGGACACGACTGACTATCCCTCGATGTAGAAGCACAATGATGTTCAAAGACATGTTTAGGTATCATTACATCTCATTAGTCAGATATAATTATAGTTAACCAATTAGGAATTGGCTTTCTTGATGGCATCTGTATTTTAGCACTTTAATGTTTTTATATATTATGATATCAGTGGGTGATCCAGATAAAGACAGTTTAGAAATAATCTCTTATAAGCAAGTTCCTGGCGAAAGAAAGTGGCTTTTGGTTGTCATCACTCAGTAAAAAGAGCATACCTTTTGGCATGTGGTTGCTTTTGCCCTTTTTTTATGGCTACGTAAAGACATTTGCTTTGTTTTCTATGTTGGCCTCATGCTTGGGAAAAGCAAGACCCAGAAACCCATGAAGAAGAGGCTGGGACCTCCAAGGACAGGAGGACCACAAATATGACAGAAAGCCAATAATGTAAATCTTTCGACCTTACCCGATTCATTTTAACCTTTTTTTTTTCTTTTTCTTCTCCTCCTCTCTACAATTAATTTTTATGTGAGGGGTGCATGAGGGATCAGGATTCAAGGTCCACAAGTTGAAATCTATCCAATTTAAATCGGTTAGCATAATTATTACTACATTTTGTTGGCATATTAAATCAAGACTCAAATTAGAAATATTTTATATTATTATTTAGTAAATTTTAGTTAAGTTAGGATTTTAGTAATTCTATTGGAGTCAAATTATATTAGTTTTATTATTTAGGAATTAGTATCTTATTAGAAAATTTCTTATGGTTGTAAAACTTGTTTATCAAATCATCTAGTTTATAAAGAGGGAGTCATATTATTATGTTTAGTTGAGAAGAGTGAAGGATTGAGAAAGATTGAGAAGAATTGAGAGCTTTGTTCTTATGATGTGATTAATAGATTATTGTTGATATTATTCCTCTTCTCCCACACATATTTTTATGTGTGTGAATTGCCTCCCCCCATATACATTGATTTTATCAAATATATCTCCAATAAGTTTTTGGGTTGATTTTTTGGATTCTAAATCTAGTATCAGAGCCCTAGGTTCAAGAAATTGATGCTGCGGTGCCTGTAGACATTGAAGAATTAACCCGATTATAAGGGTTAATTGTGACTATTTTTTGCTGTCAGAATTAGAGTACAAAAATTTTGCGAAAAAATTAGTTGATCGAGTTAGACCACAAGGTTGGTCATGGAGTGTCTAGTTTGTGAGGATTGGACCATAAGATTGGTTTGAGAATTGTTAGATTGATTGATTGCGGATGTTACAACAGAGATCGGAGAATAATCCTATCAGTTGAATTGTGATTATGAAAATCACAAAATGAATTGTCAATAAATTGACATCAAATTGGGTGACAAAAACAGTCTATCTAGAAGCATAAATTATTTTCGCAAAAAAATAAGTTGAGCAACAAGATAAATCTGTCCAAGTACGTGGAATATTGCAGCGAAAATCAAGAGAGATTATTGATTGTGACGATGGTGAACCTGATGTCTCTATGATGATGGTGAACCTGATCCAAAAGAGAACTTGATTTTAGGGAGGCAATGTTGGCATATTAAATCAAAAATCAAAATTAGAAATATTTTATGTTGTTATTTAGTAAGTTTTAGTCAAGTTAAGATTTTAGTAATTCTATTAGAGTCAAGTTATGTTAGTTTTATTGTTTAGAAATTAGTATCTTATTAGAAAATTTCTTACGGTTATAAAACTTATTTATCAAGTCATCTAATCTATAAATAGGGAGTTATATTATTATATTTAGTTGAGAAGAGTGAAGCATTGAGAAAAATTGAGAGTTTTGTTCTTATGAAGTAATTAATAAATTATTGTTGATATTATTTCTCTTCTCGCATACATATTTTTATGTATGTAAATTACCTCTCCATATGCATTGATTTTATGAAATATATCTCCCATATATTTTTGTTAGAATTTTTGGATTCTACACATTTGGTATCAACTGGTATAGTTTTGGTGTGATCGATGGTGTGATCGACAAATTAGTTGAATGTGTTAACACACTAGAAATTATAGAAATTACTCCAATTGGTTTGAATAGGACAGATTTCCACTTGAGAGGCCTCTAATGTAGTGCACGAGAGGAGCGGTGGGGAGTTTCTGTAAATTTCCACCCAAGGGTGACTTTTATTTGCAAAATATTCACATAGACCTTTCTTTCTTTCTTTCTTTTTTTTGATATCACATAGACCATGTTACAGGTAGGGGTGCAAACGAATCGAGCTCCAGTCGATTTTTGGCTAATCGAGCCGAGCTCGAGTTAATTTTGTGAAACTCGAACTTGAGCTCGAACTCGACGAGCTCAAAATATCAAGCTTGAGCTCGAGTTTAAAAAATAAAAAAATAATTATTATTATTTTATTTTTAAAAAATGAAAAATAATTATTTATTTTTAAAAATGAATAAAACAATAATTTTTTTAACAAATAATAAAATATTAGGGATATATATGTAATTTTACTATTAAAATAAAAAATAAAAAATATATATATAATTGAGCTCGCGAGCCAACGAGCTTAATGTTTTTGAGCTCGAGTCGAGCTCGTATTCGAGGAGAGCGGCTGCTCGTATTCGAGCCTGTGACGCCCCGAAAGAATGAGTGTGAGAAATCAAAAATTTTTAAATATTTTCGAGACATTATTTTGTTTCCTTGTCTATAATTTTATGCCTTTCTTCAATATATTAATTTCCTATACATTTTTATAAGGGAATATAGTTTTCAAATCATTTTCTTGATACAAGTTAGTCCACGTTAATTTTGAAGTGTATTATGAACGTGGGACCCGCAAATGCTGTAAATGCAATATATTTTTGACAACTTGTTGGAGTTTTGTATTAAGTGAGATTATTTTACAAGGTGCTAAGAGATTTGTATTAGAGAGACAAAAAGATAAGTTTTAAACCTAAAGGTGACAAGTGTCACCATCTATTCACTCTTGACTTTGACCATTTAACTTTACCTTTACCATATAACAAAATTGACCCAAAAATCTCTTCTTATTTCATTCTTGTTGGCCGGCCATGGAGGAGAGAAAGAGAGAGAGAGTTTCTTCAATTTTCCTTCATTTCTAGCTTGAATCTTGCAAACCTACCCGTTAAATTCCAAATTTCTCCACAAAAGTGAGTTGCTAAGCTAGTTTAAGGTGATTAGTGGAGTTGCTTGGAGGATTAAGGTGCCAAGTTGTTCCTTTTCTGGCATTTCAAGGTGAGTAGCTAGGGAATGCTTCCTTTGGTCTTGATAATGTCAAAGTAATGAGTTGTGTTGATTAAATGTGTGATTGGGTGAAAGATATCTTGATTTTGGTTGAATTGGTGACGTTTTATAATTATTGGGAATTTTTCTGTTTTCATATGAATATGATTATGTGGTCATGTATGATGAATGAAAATGGTATTGAAGGAAGCTAGAAGGTAGAAAAAGTGGTTAATTGCTGGAAATTTCTGTTTTGGAAGAAAAATTGGAAAACTAGGGTTCATGTTCCTACATTCTGCCCGATTTTTTAGCTCATAGTTAGAGGCCGAATTGACCTTGGGTTAAAACATAAAAGTTGTAGGGAATGATATTTTAGAGGTTCCTACAAAATTTCAGGTCAATCGGAGCAGCGTAGCTTGTGAAAAGACGGAATTACCCTTGCTGCCCTGTTTCTACTCGAATTTGAGAATTGCTTCTGTAATGGGTTATTTTGGTTGGGAATGCTTCGGAATTGGTTGTTGAGGTCTTCTGATGAATTGTATCCCTGTTTCTTAGCTTTCGTATGGCTTTGGAATTTCTGGATTTGGACTTAGGTAGTCTGATTTATGATGTTTGCACCAGAATGCGTTCTGTGAACCTGTTTTTGCGGTTCTGGTGTAGTATATTGTATTTTTGACCTAGTTACACTCGAAACTGGGCTGAGTGACCTTCTGCAATATTGTATCCCTATCTCTTAGCTTCGAAATGGTGGATCTTGTACCTTCATCCGATAATCGTAGTGCCATTGGTGCCAAAACCGCAAAATGATGTCAAAAACTATTTTTCTGATTTTGAGGTTAACTTTCATTTCCGGACTTTTCCCTAACTTGACTTGTACTTGTACTACTGGGAGCTTGCTGAATGGCTATTGAATGAACTTCTTGTTATGTGTGTACCTTTGGTTTGAATGAGAAAAATAATGAAGCCTTGATGGCTGGAAAAGTAAAGAAAGACAAGGGGAAGTGCTGTCCGAACTTTGAAAGGACTTGTTTGCATTGAGTTTGTGAACTAAAACTTGGATTTGACAAGGCAATGTTATATGATGGATAATTTCTGAGCCGTGGAGGTGAGTGACCCTAAACTGTTTCCAAAGTTACTTTCGAACGTTTTCTTGCATTATGTACTCGACTGCATATCATGCGTGCTTGCATGTGAATTCATGATATGATTTGGCTTCACGGAGTTCTTGGGGAGTCTTGTGCTGAACACCAACGTCTCCACCTCTGTTCACTGGGAGCAAATGGCTCCGGAGCTAAAAAAGGGGCTCCCTCTTACTGTTAATGTTAAATGATCTATTTGAGCGTTGGGTGTTCAAGTGCTATGATTTCACTGGCTCACGAGAGCAAAAGACGTACATTTGATCTCTGAATCATGGCATCATTGAAATACATTACTGTGAAATATATTTGATGACTGCTTCTGAGTTTCTAGCTCACCCCAAAAATATTTTATTCCCCTCCACAGGGCTCGAGGCGAAGGAAACGTTTGTATTAAAGTTCTCCGTGTGAATAGTTGGATGATCCACTGTACCGTTGAAGTTTTAGTTCGACCTTGTGTAATATTTGAGACCGTGCTTGTACTTGTATTTATATGAGAATGGAGGATCTTTGTTTTATTCGCGACTTGTATTGCTTTGATATCCTGAGGTTTTAGTTGATAGTGCAAGTGATTAGTTTCCGCTTCGTTTGTGATATGTAATTCTTGGAGAATTTGATGTAAATTTGAGATATATCTTGTAATTTAATTGAGGACTGTAGTGAACGACTGAGTTCCGGCGAGAGCTGGGCAGGCGGCCCGCCGAACCCTCTGGTTCGCCTAAGGGGAAAGTGGGACTGTCACGCGATCGCGAGCGGCTCGATTTGCAAAACACCCCTAGTTACAAGGCACGGATCGCGAGCGGCTCGATTTGCAAAACACCCCTAGTTACAGGGCACGAAAGTTACTTAGTTAAGAATAAAGATGAAACTTTCTTGCATAGATATGTGCTATGTATTAAAATTTACTGGTGTTATACTTATGTATCAATATAAGAAAAATTAATCCAAAGAATAAACTATTTTAATGTCTAACCTAGACCATGCAATTGCTAATAAGGAATTTTTTTTAACAAAAAATGGGTAAAATATACTTTACCGCCTGTGGTTTAGCGTTTTTTCACATAACTTTCTTGTGATTTCAAAAACTATATATAACCCCTCTCATAATTTGGACTAAAGTGTGAAAGTCACGAAATTTGCATTCCATAATGGAATCAATTAAAATGTCAAAAGTATCATTTTATGAAGTTAAAAATTATTAAATAATCACAGAAGGGTTATGTATATATTTTGAAAATCATAAGGGAGTTATATGATAAACCATTTTAGTTTTTAAACAAGGATATTCTTGATATTTTTTTAGGATTCCGTTATAGAGGATCATTTTTGTCACATTGACACTTCAGTCTAAACTATAAGGAGGTTACGTATAGTTTTTAAAACTATGAGGAAGTTATATGAAAAATTACTAAATCGCAGGGTTTAAAGTATATTTTACCCAAGAAAAAAAGGGTGGTTGACGGGGTTACTGAGATGTGATAAGGTTTCTCATTAGATTCCAAGTATTCTTTGAGTCTTGATTGTCGTGGGGAGATTGTGCTGCAAAAATGTTTTCAGTGGTGTATGTCTAATTATTAAAAACTATTTCCTACGGTAAGGAGATAAGCCGATAAGATAATTGATTTGAAAGACGAAGAAATACATTGATAGAAGTGAATAAGCTTTAAATGGATGAGGTACAATGATTTGGGTAGCATGACTATGACACAAATTTCACCATATCAAAAGGGAGGGAGCAAAAAAAAGGGGCGAGGAGTCTCGTCAGGCACTAGAAAGGAAAAAGAAAGAAAGAAAATAAAGAAGAGTCCCCACATTGAGGAAACTTTAACAGCAACAATTGATCCTGCATCCGTAACACTCACTCATGTTTGTATGTATGGTCCTCGTGGTCCTCTTGGAATTGGGAGGATCATCATCATCATCTTTATCTGTATCTAATGATACACCTTCCAGAATAGGACCAAACAAGTAGAAATTTAAGATCCAATCTTAATTGCGGGTGATGGTTTTGGTGAAGGGTCAAATACCCCCAACCCCCCCCCCCCCCTCCCCAAAAAAAATCCTGTAAATTTTTATTTATTATTGGTTTCCTTTGGTCTCCCAATTGCTCTGTACGAAATTTAGTCCAATTCTTCTGATCAATCATGAGAATGTCAAAAAATGTAGATGGTAAAGCATGAACTAGTAAATCATGCCGTAGTGGCATTTATAGTTATGTATCCTTTTTAATTGCGACTGCAACATATTAGTTTTGGTAAGTTGCCAAAGTTCCTATGACCCTTTAGATGGTTTCTTCACACAAACTTTTTTCCTCACTTTAGCTTTAATAATTGGATTTGAGAACTAAAAGGTTCTGATGTTCTTTTTTCCAATTGGATAGAAATGAATGGCCTCCTAAGGAATCAAATCAAATGAAAAGCGCTTGTACCTGATTGATGATCACTATCTAATACTACTAAGAATTATTGTCCAATTAGAGTGGTTTAAAGTGTTTGGATTGTGTTAACAGCATATCATACTTTAGAGCATGATCGGGACTATGAAAAGAAACATTAACAGAGAACGAGTCAAATCATGGGAGAAATATCAGTTTTGTTTATTTTGGTAATTGATCCATGACATTTTACTTGCCATGTTGGTATCCCGCGGGACATAAACAGAAAGATGGAAAGGAAAGATTTTCCTTGTTCTCATTGGGAATTGATCGTTTTGAAAACAAGTAAGTGCATTATACCATGTTGTAGTAGAGTAACAAATCATACTTGTAAATTGAAGCTTCTTTTCCACTAGGTTAGTTTGGTAACTCGGTAAGCATTTGGTAAATAACAAGGAAGAGAAAATGAAGAAAGGGAGACTCCTAAAGTATTTTTATAAGAGAGCCAAGAAGAAAATATCTGCATTTAATTTGTTCGTGTTCCTTCATTTATTTATGGTGATCAGATGCCACAACAGGAGGTGTACTTTTGCTCTGAGCTGGGTTCAGAGTTAATTTATTCCCCTTGTTACTGTTGAGATTGCATTTCTGCAGACTTTGGACAAAGTGATGCAAATTGCAAACCATTATTTATCAATCAATCAATCTAACTCGAATAATTGAAAACTGTAGCCTGGCTCTATTAAGCAGCATAGTAAAGTAGTACTATGGTAGCCAGATTGGTGGTGATAGGAAGGAGTATTGACTTGGAAAATTTAGCTGGCTTTCTTGAGATCGACATTTCGTCTGTCGAGAGGAGGACACCGCGGGAAGCATCTCTGTCGGGTGGAATGTAAAAGTAAGTGAAACGCCACCGTTTCTTTGCGTCGGTAAACACTGTGCATTGATGCATGTTTGCCATTTTACACGAACATGGCCTTCTCATCTCTACGATGGTGTTACTTGTTAAGTACAAATGTAGGTCGAGTAGGAGTTGGAGATTCCTAGTAAATTTCTCGTTTGCTTAAAATTCTTAAAATTTACTAGCCGGAATTTATTTGTTTAAACCATGACAAGTTTAAGCAAGTTTTGTTTTTCACATAAACTGTTACTTTAGAGTCCAAGATGTGTTTGGAATGCACATTATTTAAATACATTGACTTTCTTGTATCATCAACACATTTTTTAATCACTTTTTTATTTTACCTACATCACATCAAAAATATGTTACAGTATTTTTTCACAAAATTATCTCAAATAATTTATTATCCAAACACACTCGAAATTACATTAGACCCTTCTCAATTCGTTTTATGTGCTACTAGTGGTCCTAAGCTGCTAAGTCTCTTATAGCCAATAGTACTACAAAAAAAAAAAAAAAAAAAAAAAAAAGAGGCTGGCTTTACAGATATCATTGAAAATGAAGGTCGCTAGAATTGAAGTACTATATGACTGTAAGAACATAGTGGTATACTATTGGTATGTACAAATTCATTAGCACTTATTTTCCTTCTACAGTTGTACTTCAAGTTCAATGTCGATTACTCAAGGCATTGTGCCACAACGCTTAGTATTTCCATGTACGACCACTACTTCAAGTCAGGTTTGCACTTAAACAGAGTACTAATTCCACATTGTACCTCTCAACTCGTGCAACTTTTTCATTTTGCATCTTAAACTTTAATTTTTAATTTTAGACGCTTTACACATTAAACTCTCAATTTGAGATACTTTACATTATAAATTCTCCGGTTATTAATGACAATATGTTGGGAATGATCAAAAAGATCAAAGGGATTGTGCGTAGAACAAACTGGTCAAAAGTTTGTTCCATGTAATAACAAATATATTATTGTTAACAAAATTAACTGAGATAAAAAGACAGTTCAAATAAACAACAAGGTATTATTTTGTTTTAGTTGTGATCCCTTTAATCTTTTGACCACTTTAAGCACATCGTCATTGATTTTTGTGATTTTTTGTTCTGTTAATTTTGCTAACTTTATTGTTGATTGGATATAAATAGAATTAATTTGAGAGTTTAGAATGTAACGTCTCTGAAATTGAGAATTTAGGGTGTCAAGTATTAGAAATTGAAATTTAAGGTGTAAAGCGAAAAAGTAGTACAACTTTGGGAAATGCAAAGTGGTGTTATCCTTAATTAAATCATTCATGATCTTAGTTATTAAACAACTCAAAGAATATATATATATATATATATATCCTAACAACCAATGTTTTGAAAAACCAGATCGGACTGCCCTAACCTATAAACCAACCATTTTTGCAGTCTATTTTAATCCAAAAATTCAATTAAATCCATCAAACTCGGTCAAGAACCGATTGGACCAAGTAAAACTAGAAAGGTCAAATAGAATTCACTAAATCTTTATTTTTTGAAAAAGAAATTTTCAATTGTATTTAAATTTTTAATACTAAAATAAATAAAAAATGATTAAAATTTTAAACTGAAATTGAACTGATCAAATCGGTTAAACTGCAAACCAAAAGCTCTTACCAACTCTCAAAAAAAAAGTTTTTTTTTTTTTTTTTGTATGCGAAAAGCCAATTTAAGTATAAAAAAAAAATCTTCCAGCTATTATTCAACAAAATTATACACTACTGCTTATTGATCAAGGAACGAAAAAAAAAAAAAGGAGAAAAACTAGATTTGTGCTAAAATTTTGAAAAAGAAAAAGACTAATGTGAACATTCTCTTCACATTTTTCGCTTGCACGGAATTCACAATCTAAATCAGACATCAAAAAAATTGAGAGTATAACAAAAAGATGAAGTTGGGAAAAACCAATTAGTTTACGTGCATTATTCTTGACCCATCCATAATTACAATTTACAAGACCGTACTTATTGGCTACTTGGTTTCATATACTTTTGATAGGACAATAATTAAGGATTGATGAATGAGAAAGCAACTATACAGTAATTTAATCCGCACATTATTGATAACAGTAGTTTAATGGGTGTTCCTAAATCACAAAACCTTACCGTGCACGGTGATAATGATGTTTTGACCTATAATTAGACGGAAGCGTCACATTTGATCTACTATCTATTTTTTAAATCCTTTGCCTTTTCAATTGTCTCTTGCCCGATTCATTACTTGGAAAGCGCTCATTGCATGATAAATTAAAACAGCGATTTAAAACAAAAGCATACAAAAAAAAAAAAAATTTAAACAATTCTTTTGATTCTTATTAAAATAATGACA